CCAGGTCACGCACCTTGAAATCAAGTTAGGGCAGTCAAAGGCTTCTTTGGAGATTGCAAATGCTGACAACTCCAAATTGCTCAGCCAACTTGTTTCCACCGAGAACGAAAGAGACGCTCTCCGGGCTGAGCTAGAAGCGTTAAAGCGATCAAGGAAAGATGAAATGGATGCGACAAATAATCTCGATTTCAAGGAGGCCGAAGATAGCTGCACCAAGCAAGTTGAGGCTACCAAGGACATATTCTTTAAGTCCGACTGGAAGGCTGCTTATGAACAGCTCGGCCAAGGATCTGGAACCAAGGTGTTTTCCTCTCCCTCCGTTGCCTTCCTACCGGCCTACATGGTGCCATACGCGAACGAAGTCTTCGATTCCTTGCAAGCAGAGGCCGAGGAAGAGGCCGGACACGACGTCGAGGAGGACGAGGAGGAAGCGGGCTGCCCAAAGGAGGTCGGCCAGGTTGATTCTGGTGCCAGAGAAACCACCACCTTGGTTGATCTGGAGGCAGTTGCAGAAGGCACCAAGGATGACTTCGCTGACCTTTCCCCCTCTGGTTTAGTTCCCCCCCCCTCCCCGTTTTTTTTTTTTTTTTTAAAAAAAAAATGTAACCGGGCTGCTTGCCCCACCTTATGTATATTTTTTCATCAATGAAAAGGTTCCATTTTGCTTGTACTCTTGCAATGTGTTACTATCGTTAACTCTCAAACCGTACTATTTCTGTCTGGCGAGAAAAGTATCTCGGCCGAAATCCTTAATTTATTTCTTCGACAAAAATGGATGGAGTTGAACAACCTATGAACACATAAGCCAAGAAGAACATCTCGATAGAAACGGTAAAATAACTCATTAGCTCCTCTAGCCGAGATAAAACATCTCGAAAAAATGCTAAAGTTAAACAAATCGTCAACTCTTTTAGCCGAGGTAATTCATCTCGGTTAAAGTCTTTGAGTTAGGCAAATCACCAACTCATTTAGCCGGGGTAAATCATCTCGGCTAAAACACAATAGTTGAGCACATCATCAACTCTTCTAGCCAGGGTAGATCATCTCGACTAGGACCTTTGAGTTGGGCAAATCACCAACTCTTTTAACGGGGGTAAATGAGCTCGGCTAAAACACAAGAGTTGAGCACATCATCAACTCTTCTAGCCGGGGTAGATCATTCCGGCTAGAACCTTTGAGTTGGGCAAATCACAAACTTATTTAGCCGGGGTAAATCATCTCAGCTAAAACACAATAGTTGAGCACATCATCAACTCTTCTAGCCGGGGTAGATCATCTCGGCTAGGACCTTTGAGTTGGGCAAATCACCAACTCTTTTAGCCGGGGTAAATGAGCTCGGCTAAAACACAAGAATAGGCCCCTCAGTCACTACATTACTTCGAGCACAACAGACTTCTTCATCAAAGATAATTCACTTCTATTACATAGGCAAAATGAGTATTACATTCAGAAGTACAGGGAAAACAAGTTCTTCCACAAAAAATTACATAAAAATGACGAATACTAAAAATAGTACAATTTGAGGTTAGCCGTATTCCATGGCCGGGGTACGTCTTTGCCATCCAAGTCTTCTAAGTGGTATGCCCCCTTGCCCGCCAGACCGGTTATCTTGTAAGGCTCTTCCCAGTTTGCTCCTAGCTTGCCTTCGCCCGACACCAGTGTATTGCCCATCACATTCCTTAAAACCCAGTCCCCGACTTTAAACGGTCTGGGGTGCACCGTTTTTTTATATTTTCAGGACAATTCTTGTTGGTATGCGGCCACGTGGATTAAAGCTTTTTCTCTGCACTCATCAGCTAGGTCCAATTCAAGGGCGATGGCTTCAGAATTCAGCTCGGGCTCAAAACTTTCATTGCGGATGGTGGGCATGCCGATTTCCAAAGGGATGACCGCCTCCATGCCATATACCAAGGCAAAAGGGGTTTCCCTGGTCGAATGTCTTGGGGTTGTCCGATATGCCTAGAGGACACTAGGGAGCTCCTAGGCCTATTTGCCTTTGGCCTTCTCCAACCTCTTCTTCAACCCATCTAGAATGGTCTTGTTCGAAGCTTCAGCTTGGCCATTAGATTGGGGGTAAGCCGGGGTGGAATTGTAAAATTCGATCTTCAATTCTTCACAAAATCCTTTGAACAGCCGCCTGTCAAACTGGGTGCCATTATCAGATACCAAAGCCTTGGGGACGCCAAACCGCATTATCACGTTCTGCCAAGCAAACCGTTTGACATCTTTTTCTTTGATGGTCGCTAAGGGCTCAGCTTCAACCCATTTGGTGAAGTAATCTGTCGCCACAATGAAGAACTTCTGGTTGCCTGGCGCTGTTGGGAGTGGCCCCACTATATCCAATCCCCACATTGTAAATGGCCAAAGACTTATGAGGGGGAGAAGTTCTCTGGCTGGCTGGTGAATTTGGTGAGTGAATTTTTGTCATTTTTCGCACTTCCTAACATATTTCTACGCATCTACCTGCATGCATGGCCACCAGTATCCCTGCGAAATAGTGCGGTAAGCCAAAGATCTCCCCCCGATGTGACTACCGCACATGCCTTCGTGGATCTCGTAAAAGAAAGCTTCCATGCTATTTGGATGGACACACTTGAGGTATGGACCGGCAAAGGACTTCTTGTATAAAGCGCCAAATGGAGAGAGCCAAAACTGCTCTGACTTTACCCGGACTTTATGCGCTTCCTTTTTATCGGCCGGAAGGGTCCGTTCTTTCAGGAAAAGGATAATAGGGTCCATCCAAGAGGGGCCAAGCTCGACGCAGAGTACTTTCTGTCTGCTCGGATTCCTCAATACTAGGCCTTGGAAGAAACTTAATCAGGAGAGGACTGGGAAATGAACTGTCGACCATGGAAGCTAGACCGGCCAACTCATCCGCACGGTCGTTTTCTTCACGACTAATTTGTTGGAACCTTATTGCTTGGAATCGCTTGATGTGTTCTCTCACCAGAGCTTGGTACTTGGCCATTCTATCATATTTGGCTTCGTAGACCCCAGACACTTGGTTGACAACAAGTTGGGAGTCGCTGTACTCAGCCTCATTGTTTGACACAGGGAATCCGAGTGTGATAAAGTGTTTGATGGTCAGACCATCTGGCGAGATCAAAACTATGCCCAGCCCGGCGCCGTGACGATTTGAGGCTCCATCTACAAAAAGTTTTCACATTTCACCGACGAAGAGTTTCTAACACTCTGAGGGGTCCTTGGAGGCTTGAAAGTTGATGGGATCATAGTCGCTCGGCTGTTCGGTTTCAGGTTCGCTGCTGTCTATTTCAACGGACACGTCTTCATCCCCCATCGGCGATGCGGCACTGGACCCAACAGGTTAGTCTGTTATTCTCATGTCTGTTGTCGCATTGCTGGGCTGCAGTACTATTCCAACTGGAGGTTCTATGGACGGGCGCGCAAGTTCCACGTCGCTAACATCACCCTGTTGTGTAATTTTCGTTGAGCCTTCATTCGCCACCTCAGCTACCACGGTGAGATCCACCGGGCATACTTGGTAAATTCCAGGTGAGAATTTAGCAACAAAATCTGCCAATGCTTGTGCTTTTATGGCCGTTCGGGGTTGAAACTTGACGTCGAATTGTCCCAATTTGACTGCCCACTTCAGAATTCGACCAGAGAAATTTGCCCGCTCAAACAAGATTTTCAGGGGGAATTCAGTCAACACGACAATTATGTGAGCATGAAAGTAGTGCGCCAATTTCCTGGAGGCCATCATCAACGCCAAAGCAAGTTTTTTCAGCGGCAAATACCTCGACTCTATCAGTAGCAAGGTTTTGCTCACGTAAAAGATAGGGAAATGCTGGATGCCTTCTGACTGGACAAGCACCGTACTACCTGCATGTTGAGAAACTGCCAGATAAAGATAGAGTTCTTCACCGAGCTTAGGTGTCACCAATAATGGGGCGAAAGACAAATACGCCTTAAGCTCGGCCAAAACCCTATCACATTCCTTATCCCATGAAAACTTGGGCTTTAAGGCTCAAAAGAAAGGGCGGCAGCGATCTAATAACCGACTTATGAATCGATTAAGTGCGGCTGCCATACCGGCAAGATGCTGCACGTCCTTTGCTGAGTTGGGCTGCTTCAATTCTTGTATGGCTTTGATTTGTGTGGGGTCCGCTTCGATGCCTTGGTTTGTTACTAAGAAGCCCAGGAATTTCCCAGATCTCACGCCGAAGGCACACTTTGACACATTCAGGCATAGCTTATGTTGTTTAAGAATGGCGAACATCTCGGCTAGCTCGGAAAAGTGGTCAACCTGCTGCCTGCTTTTCACCACCATGTCATCGATGTAAGGCTCCATCATCCGACCTAGCAGAGGAGCGAACATTTTGATCACCATCCTTTGGAAAGTCGCCCCGGCGTTCTTCAAACCAAAAGGCATGACTCGATAACATAATAGTCCCCTTAGGGTGGTGAAAGAGGTTATCTCGCAGTCGGGAGCATGCATGGCGATCTGGTGATAACCACGATAGGCATCCAAGAAACTGAGCCTGTTATGCCCGGCCGTAAGATCCACTAGCTGGTCTATTCTGGGCAGGGAAAAGCTATCTTTGAGGCAAGCTCGGTTGACCGTCTTATAATCAATGCAAACTCGCCACTTCCTATTTTTCTTGGGCACTACGACCGTGTTTGAAACCCACCAAGGGTAGTGCACTTCCTGGATGGCCCTGGCTTCTAACAGGTTCCTCACTTCCTCCGCGACTACCTCGGTATGATAAAGGGCCGATCTCCTTGTTCTTTGGATGACAGGGCGTGCATCCGAGAAAACATTAAGTTGGTGGCAAATAAAGCTTGGGTCAATGCCAGGCATGTCGTATGGCGTCCATGCAATGACTTCGATATTCACCATCAAGAATTCTACCATCTCGGTTCTTTCCTGGACGGTCAGGCTTGATCCTAGCAAAAAGAACTTGTTAGGACTTTCTGTGTCGATCCGCACTTCCATCAACTCCTCAACAGCTTTTTCCTCGGCCCTGGTGCCCATGTCATCAAGGACACTTTGGTCTTCCAGACTTTCGATCATTTGAATGAAGCCTTTGGCAGCTCGGCTCCCGTTCACCACCACGAAACACTGCTTCGACATCTTGATCGCCCCAAATCTCCTCAACTTCCCCTATAGCCGAGGGAAACCTCATAACCTGGTGGTAGGTTGACACTACCGCCTGCATAGCGTGAAACCATCCCCTACCTAGGGTCAGATTGTATGTGGATGGCACAGTCAATACCCAGAACTCCACCTGCTGGACCACGGATTCGATTTTGATCGGTAAGATTATCTTTCCCATCAGCCACTCCGGTTGTGAGTTGAAACCAACTAGTGGCGAAGTTATCAGAGCCAAGTCTGTATCCTGGAGTTTGAGCTGCTTGAAGGCGTCGTAATACATGATCTCAACCGAGCTACCATGGTCGATCAAGATGCGCTTGACATCGAAGTCTCTGATGCGAAGGGTGACTACTAGGGCATCATTGTGCGGCGCTTGAATGCGCTCAAGATCCCTACTTGAGAAGCAAATCACATTTTTCTCCTCAATCTTGCCCCTCTTGGTCGCGGGCTGGACTGACAAAACTTCCCTCATATGTTCAGCCTTTTTTATCATCCCCCAGAGCTCGCATACCAGCGCCCTATACCGTAGATCACATTGACTACACCCTGGAGGGGCGCCTCTAGGTCATCTAAACCGCTCGGCTCAGCCGGGGTGTGGTGCGCGGCTCTAACTCCCCTGTCGATGTAAAAGTCTAAGTGACCGGCTGCGACTAACTCCTCCAAGTGCTGCTTTAAGGGAAAATAGTCCTTCGTCTAGTGCCTTTGCTCCCTGTGAAATGTGCAGCGGTACCACGGATTAAAACCTTTTTGCACATCGCCTAACTTAGCGGGAAATCGAACGTAATCCTCATCGTGGATTTCACTAAGTATGTGATAAATTGGGATCTTAAATACCGTGGTGATGCCCGTCCAAGCGTTCAGCTTTCTGTTTGCATCAGTTGTGTCATCACAGGGATATTCTGTTTGGTCATTGCAGCGACCTCTACCCCGGTTTCTACGATTTGGACCACAGTCAGATTCCCCTGCGCGGTCATTTGGATGGTTCGTCTCCTGTCCGACCACATGTACCTTGCCAGCCACCCTTTTGTCTGTTGCCATCGGATTCGTCTTCACGGTGGATGCTGCCGCATCATCCTCTACTCGGATGTGCTCATTGATGCGTTGTATTAGTTGCCCCATGGAAGTCGACTGCTTCATCATGAGCGAGTCCCTCAGTCTATGTCCGACTGGGAGACCACGCTTATATTGGGTGATTGCCAGGTTGATCGGGCAATCTAGGATCTCATTGAAGGTCTCCCAATACCTAGCATTGTATGCTTTGAGGGTGTCACTCGACTCCATCTTGACGCTCAGGAGGTGGTCCACTTCCTTTGGCGTTTTGGTGTTAGTTTTGAATCGAGTTACGAACGTTTTCGCCAACTGCTGCCACCTTTCAATACTCTCCTCCAGAAGCCTCTCAAACCATTTCAAGCCCAACTCTCCCAAACTCGATGGGAAAATAAGGCACATGAGAGCGTCATTACGCTTGTGTCCGGCTATGACCTGCCGAAAGTGGCTTACATGCATGTACGGATCGATTTTTCTGTTATAAAGCGTAAACTTGGACTGGTGAAAGCCCGCTGAGAGTGGTGTGGTCTCTATCTCAAGAGAGAAGGGAGTGGCGTTCAGTCTCGCCAAATCTGTGTCCAGAGGGACAAGCACGGCTAGACGGGGCAGTGGCATTACGACCTCCTCACTGGCGTGACCTCCGTAAGATAGCCACTGTAGCGCAGGCACCCTTTGAACCTCCCGTCGACGAGCTCGTTCCTTCAGGACATCCCTCAAGTCCTCTGAACGAACGGAGTAGGAATATCTCGACATCGTCGAAGAACGTGAGAGATGGTAGATACTATCTTGCGCGCTAGACTTCTTTGCAAGAGTATCTGAGTCTTCAACCCTATAGCTTCTGGTGATAGAAATGGAGGGCGTGTGTGGCTGGCTCTGGTTGCCTGAGCGGCGGGGTTAGGTGCGCTCACTGTGGTCTCCCACTCCAGCAACACCTTTCCTTTTGACCTGCTGTTTAAGAGCTTCCATCTCTGCCGTCATTCTCTGGATGACGGCGTCTTAGTCCCTCAACTTATGCTCCAGGCGTCGAGCGTGCGACTCTCTTCGTTGTCGATGTCCGTCGGGGCTCTGTGAGTGACCAAAGCTTCTGGAGCGCTTATCACGTACATCTCTTGGAAGACCTCCTGGGGAAGTCCCCAAGTCCGCCATATTCGGAATGCCGGGAAGTCCGTCTCTCATTCGGACTGACTCTAGGGTGGCACCGTCGATGGCAGACAATGGCACTTCGTCGTTGTTCGCCATGAAGAGTGATTCGATGAGCTTGGAGGGCAAGGTTGTGTTTGCTCAAAAGTTTCCCACAGACAGCGCTAATTGTACGGGAAAATAATTTCTGATACCGTCCGTACTCCTCGGTCTAAGCTGCGCTTCGTTCCGACTAACCTGCAAGCACGACGACGGTGAGCTACCCGGCAGTGTGTTGCTGGAAAACTCCTCCGACAGTCAAGTTAGCACACACTTAGAAAGAGAGAAGAGAGATAAGACAATGTGTTAGTGTTTCTCTCACCAGAAGATGTTCCATCCCCAGCATGGGGGGTGTAGTCCCATTTATATACTTCTCAACGCTCACCTCTGCGTCCATTCACATACTGACGCGTGGAGATGCTCTCCAATCACACTTTCCTACGTGTCAACGCAAATCCAACTAAACACCACCTAATCAAACCGCCAAACAGCAATGGAGCGATCCGACAGCCCGGCGACGCTACCCCGGCCTTCCAGACCGTGTCACTTAACGAAACAAGCAGTGCTCCTCGCCGAGCTCCATTACGACCGAGCTTAGCAGCACTCTGTCATGATCGAGCTCCTGCTAAGCTAGGCTGGTGTGCGGAGGACCTAGCGCGCTGAGTAAAACGTGCGGACAATAGAACCCGAGCTAACGAAGCATCATCTCTGCCAAATGGGCCCAGGACTCCAGCTGTGTGAACCAACCCGGGATCGGCCCAGGCTAGCTCGGCCCAAACATGCTCTCTTGCTAAGCTAGACCGGTGTGCGGAGGACCTAGCGCGCTGAGCAAAACGTGCAGACAATAGAACCCGGGCTAACAGAGCATCATCTCGGCCAAATGGGCCCAAGACTCCAGCCGTGTGAACCAACCCTGGATCGGCCCAAGCTAGCTCGGCCCAAACATGCTCGATCCTCTCAGGCCGGACATTACCACGGCCCAAGCTAGATTATGAATCTCCCTCTCATATATAAATATCTATATATATATATATATTCTGTTTAATCTTAAATTTGGGAAGAGATTTATGAATGGAATGGAGATGTTAAAAATAAAAATAAAAAACCCATAATTTCATTCATATTTTTATTTAGTTTTTAATTTTCTCTCCATAATGTCTTCTCCAAATCTAAGATTCAAACACAAACTAAAAAATGACCACAATTTTAATTTTCCCAATTATTTCACTGGGTTCAAATTTTTGAAACTTCCAATTTGTTTTGCATAATTACATATATAAACCAAAAAAAAAAATCCCAATTTTCATTGAGTTCAATTGAACCGATTGAATTATAGGGGAGCTTACATATAAGTTCTATTGTAACGCCTCAAAATAAATAACAATCGCTCATCTCATAACATTTCTTAGAAATGATCAATAACCTCATATTTTATAATCCATTTATAATCTTGATCATACAAAAGATGACATATGCGAGTATACATTCATAAATCTTAGATTTTGAATCTTTAGCATATGACATGGATACATGGATTAAAATAAAAATAAAATCAAGTAATTATATGACCTAATGGCTATATCTTTCTAAGTTGATACTTGGGTACATCAAAATGAGTTTAGCTCAATACAATTAAAACACAAGGCTTGTGCAAAAATAATTACATCAAATAAACAAAAGAAACTCTCGGCTCCAAATCTTCCAAGCTATGTCTTTGGTGGAGGCATATCATCAGCACCTAAAAGTTGTTTTCCACATAGGGTGAGTCAAAATCCAGTAGAGATACTTTAACACAATATATGAATCTTAACAAAGTCATAAGGTGAATGCACATGCATGTAATTTGTTAAACATTTCACATTTCCATTATATATCAATTCATGAATATAAACCTTTTATAACAGAAAACAGGGCAGTGGATACAAAACACTGAGAATCTCTAGGTACGTGTTTGCTAGTAGGTTATACAATCACTACCAAAGTCATTTTACCGATACTAACAGAAATGATCAGCACCTAACCACCCAGGTTTCTAGACTTTCACTAAGAAGACACATGCCAACATAGCAACCACAACTACACCCCCTAACCAGATTCACAAAAGTATTCATCCATTTTTCTCAAAACAATACATTTTCAATGCTTAAGTATGAAATGATGCTCAATGCGAGATGTATGAGTGATTAGTTTCAATTCACGTAATCCTCATGCAATTTCTACAACATTCAAAGCTATCCTCCACCGGTAGCTCAAAATAGATATTTCTATACAACAAATAATTTCCAACAAAAAACATAATCTCATCATTTTTCAAAATAGGAGTGATATTACATATTCAACTCCACCATCATCATCAACATATATATTCGTTCCATTCTTGCCAAACCCCACATCATTTTCCATTTACTTTCACAAACTAAGTATCCATAATTTTAGAACAAAACCCTTTTACTTACATAATCAATTTTAAGTAAAGAAATTCACCAATTTAACATAACTCAATCATAAACACATCTCCACAACCTTTCTCAAGAACCCATTTGAAATTTCTCTTTTTCAATTCAAAACCAAACCTTAGGTTTAACCCAAAATTCTCAAATCACTAGATTCTTTCAATAGACAAATAAGTAAGGCAAAAATCATACCAAAAGTTAAAGAAACCCCTGCCTCAAAAGAAGAAGACAAGAGAGAACAAGAGTTGAAGTTTGACGAAGCTGAAAATGATAACTCCTCATATTAAAACAAAGCTCTCAACGTGCTCTACCTTTTTCTCCAAAGGACTAGGGTGAAGAAATCAATAGATTAGGAGTATTTAGAGCTCAAATGCAAAAAACTAGAGAGAGAGAGTGAAGAAGTAGGGCTTGGAATGTTTTAGAGAGAGAGAGAGAAAGTGAAAAGTGACTCTGAATACCGTTTTCTCGGATTGATATATGCTCAGACCGCTTAATCGATCAAAACGCCGTTCGAGCGTCAAACACAATAAGTGACACTGCTTGGGCGCACAATGACCCTCTCCCAGAAGTTCGGACCTACAAAAGACCGCTCCAGTGCAAATACCTCACTTCCAGAAGTTTTGCAGACTGTAAAAGACTACTCAAGCGAACAGGCAAAAATCTAGGCGATAACTCGTTTGAAAAACTAACTCCAAACTTGTTTCAAACACAACCATAACTCCCAAATAGTCAAGCTCAACTAGTAACCAGATAAAAATGAAATGAACTGTTAAGGATATGGATTCCCAGTTTC